GCGCCGCACCTGGCGCCCACAGGGCGGGGCCGCAGCGCACCTGGCGGCAGCTCACCTGCGCGTCCGCCAGGTCCCAGGCGTCGTCGCACACCGTGCCCCACCTGCCCGCGTGGAACACCTCGACGCGCCCCGCGCACCTGTGCGGGCCCCCGGCCAGGCGCACCTGGCCCTCCTCGGGCTCACCTGGGACAGGGGACGGGCACAGGTGTGGGAGCCTGGAACACCTGGGCATAGGTGTGTGAGCCTGGGCACACCAGGGGCTCACCTGGGCACACCTGGGGCTTACCTGAGGGTGCCAGGGACTCACCTGAAGGTGCCAGCGTCGCACCTGAGTGTGTCGGGGCCTCGCCGGGGGGCACACCTGGAACACGGAACATGGACAGGTAAGCTCACCTGGGCACACCTGGGCACACCAGGGACTCACCTGTGTGCACCTGGGGCTCACCTGGGTGTGCCAAGGACTCACCTGAGGGTGCCAGGGTTGCATTTGCAGGGGCCAGGGCCTCACCTGGAAATCAAAGCATGGACAGGTGAGCTCACCTGAAGGCTTCAGGGCCTCACCTGAGGGCGCCATGGTCGCACCTGGAGCCTCACCTGAAACACACGGGGGGGGCTGGGCAGGTGTGCTCACCTGGCTGGTGCCCCCAGGTGTGTCCCAGGTGTGTCCCAGGTATTTCTCAGGTGTGCCCAGGTGCCCCCAGGTGTGCCCAAGTGTATCCAGGTGTGCCCAAGTGTTGCCCAGGTGTGCCCAGGTGTGTCCCAGGCTTTCCCCAGATGTTACCAGGTGTGCCCAGGTGTGTCTGTGGATATCCCCAGGTGCCCCCAGTGTGTCTGTGGACATCTCCAGGTGTTCCCCAGGTGTGTCCCCAGGTGTGTCCCAGCAGTGCAGGTGTCCCCGCCTCACCTGGCTGCTCACAGGTGACGGTGGCGTGGGGGCAGTAGGGGGCGCCCCACACCTTCACCTGGCACTCCAGCAGGTTCCCCTCGCTGCCGTTACACCTGAGCGACTCCACCCAGGTGAGCTCCTCCCTCCCGACGCTCACCTGGCCGGCTCGGAGGGCGGGGCCGCAGCCCAGGTAGCGGCAGGTGACGCGAGCGGCGGGCGGGGCCCAGGTGAGGCCGCACACCCCCCCCCAGCGCCCCTCGTGCAGCACCTGCACACGGCCAGCACACCTGTGCGGACCCCCCGCCAGGCGCAGGTGAGTCAGGTCAGCCAAGCCTGAACCTGCCGGGCAGGTGCGGACAGGTGAGAGGGGGGACAGGTGAGGACAGGTGAGA